CTCAATTCCAGTAATCAACCATTAGGCGCCGTAACGTGTGTTTCTCCTACATGATTTTTAGTTTTATTTTCTATGTAAAGTGTTTAGATTTTCCTTTCTATCGTTTTTTCCAGTTCATTGTGTTCGGGATCTTGTGCCTTCTGTCTGAGAAGTATCCGAGTCCATGCCTGGTGAGTGATTAGATGAACACGTTTCTTTTTTCAGCTTTTTTCTTTGATTTCATTACATAAATACATTATTGGGTTTTTGTACATAAAGTTATTTATCGTATCTTTCAGATCGTCCTCAATGTGATTTTCAGCATTGCTGGAGCTGCTACGGCCATTGTTGCCATTGTGCTCTACTGCATATATGAGGCAAAGCTTTACTCCTGGTATTTCTGTGACGGAAAAGACAACGACTACTACTACAACTACCATCACTACTGCACGTGGAATAAAGATATGTTCAATGTAAGACAGAAATTTTGCTTCGGGACTAAATGATTGTGACCTCGGTTTGAAAACTGTGGGAATCAGTGATTTCTATGTTTCTGTTCTTTTATGTACTGTTTTAAACCGTTAAAGTCCTTATCCAGTTAGAATTCTTTTTCAAAATAAAATCGAAGTCAGAGTCAAATTCCTTTCTTAAGCAGGAAATCTCAAACATTTACAGAAAAAACAAGATTACAAGACACCCAAGACCCTCTAAAATACATTTAATTACTTCACTCTTTATTTTTTTATACATATAAAGAAGAGATGCAAGTAATTGATTAATTTAAAGCTGACTGGCCTTAATTCTGGAAACATGAAGGGCTTCATATTTTATTTTAACATTTTTTTGTTCTAGATGTATTAAAGACTGACTGAATTACCAAAAATGTTTTCTTACATATAAAATATATCAAAACAGGAACCTATTAGGTATTGTTGTGCTAATGCCATTTTTTGGCCCCGATACCGATACCCGATACCTGGCTGTTCGGTATCAGCTGATACCAATACAGTTTGAAATTGATGTGTGTGTGCATATATGAAGAACTGCATCCTACTTGGATGCAGAATAATTACCATCATGGCTTTGTCAAGTTGCATCCTACCTTTGTGAAGCAGGAAAAAGACTAATAGAAAGTGAATCCAGTAGAACTTTGTATTGCCTGGAATGGGTGACAATAGTTGAATAAACTTTTGGCTTTCAAAATGGTATCAGTGCCCTGTTTGTTGGTACTCTCCAATACCGATACCACCATTTTAGTGCTGGATTGGGGCCCCGCCCTATACTGGTATCGGTATTGGTGCAACACTACTATTAGGTTGGTTAATTAAAAGATTAAGATCTTTGAAACAGCTATCTAAAATGTGCATATATACATATATGCATATATAAGAGGTTAGTGCACAGGTTATGAAATAGTAATTGCACATTAGATATTGCCGTGTTATTGCGGTTGTAGTGTGGCATTGTATAGTCTGGTGGCAGCAGGGATGAATTACCTGTGGTAGTGCTTCTTTTTACAAACAGGGTATAAAATTCTTTCACTAAATGAGCTGCTCAGCTCCTCTACAGTCTGGTGCAGAGGCTGGAAGGTGTTCTCCATGATGGATGTAAGCTTGGACAGCACCCTCCTCTAAGCCACTTCCTCCTTAGCAGATAGGGTATGTCACTTTGACATGCTGTCAGACTGTTTTTACTTTGTTTCAATGAAGGGGATGTTGATTGAGAGCTAATTCTCTGATTTTAGTAGAATCCAGTGCTGGGAGAGACTTTGTGCTGTTAGCATCGCCTTTAAACAGGTGGTTCTGGTTGCTCTTTGAAACACCGGTGTTGGTACCGGATCTGCTCGGGCCCTGTGCCTTCCAGTGACGCCACGCTGAATGTTGACTTGAAACGTGGTTGCCCAGACAATGGTAATAACATAATAGAGCATCAACGTGCCGACCTGGGAGCATCTGTAGCGTTGGCGTGTCTAATGACCGATGAAGATTGATCACATGATTGATAACAAAACTGAAAAATGGTG